TGATCTGCTAGTTCTGTGACCCTTGCTTATGTGTATCTCCTGGCTGTGATAAGACAACTTTATTCTCTGAGTTCCCCAGGAACGTGACGACCTCCAGAAAGAAAAATTCTGTTGGTACCCATCACGAATGACAGAAGAAAGAGATTATGTGACACTCTGTAGTTTGTCCCACCGGGTGGTTGGCATCCTTAACCCCCTCCTTCCCCGCCCATTTCCCTACCTAACTGCCTCGCGATTCTGTATGATTTTAAGATGGCTCTTCAGGACACCAGTCCACCATCTTCCGATTATGCTGGCTAATCATCTAAATTTTCCTCTCTCCACCACTGGCTTGTTTACAATTGATGGGCACCAGACTGCGGCGAGCAGAATGAGCCCCTTTTTACTCGGTTACAAGGGCACCGTTCCCGCAGTCACGTTAGGCTCTGATGAGCCAGCTGGCACAGGTGTGGCATGACCGGTACTGTGGGCAGCCAGCCCTGATGTTTATAGAGCCGCCAGCTCTGTCTCTACAGTGGGGCGTGTCCCAATCCTTCCCAGTGTTATTGCCTTTGCCCTGTAACCTTATGAAATACGTGCACTAGGCTATAAAAGCGCAGATAGCAGCGATACGAGACATAGAAGATGTGAATGAAATGCAGTTTGGACAGACCCGGGGTCATGGCAGCAGGAGAGGCATGACTCTGGCCTCCCCAAGAGGCGGCAAAGGCGTGTTTTCATTGATGGTGGAAACAATGTTTTAAAACATGTATTGAAGGCTGAAATCAAATGTCCAACAATTGTGTCTAAAATGCAAGATACAATTAGAGATTGTGAGAAGTACATATCTTAGTTCTCTAGGAATGGAATCCTCCTGAGAATGTGGAAATGTATCATTCCTCCCACACAGTCTTCCTTTTCAGTTTCTTTTTTCTTCTTTTCTTTTTCTTTTTCTTTTTTTCCGAGGAACATTAGCCCTGAGCTAACATCCGCTGCCAGTCCTCCTCATTTTTGCTGAGAAAGACTGGCCCTGAGCTAACATCCATGCCCATCTTCCTCTACTTTATATGTGCGACGTCTCCCACAGCATGGCTTGCCAAGCGGTGCCACGTCCGCACCTGGGATCCGAACTGGTGAACCCTGGGCCGCTGAAGCAGAATGTGAGCACTTAACCACTGCGCCACCGGGCCGGCCCCCCTTTGCACTTTCTTCAATGACTTCTTGAACAATTTTATTCTCAGACTATTTTTCCACTTGCTCATTTTCTGCAATATCAGGTATTCATTGAATGTGCCATTTTAATGACAAAGTTTTAATATTTTAAACATTGCTAACACAGGTTATGGTTATAATATGTTTAATCAGTGAGCAGGAATTAAGGGCTAGTAGAATGTTCTTCTCACAGCTGACAGTGACCTCCTAGGAAACAAGATGACCTTGTCTCGGGTACCTGTCTTCTTGGTCATAGATCTGAAATAAGGATGTTCTCTCTGTACGTTCTGCGAACTTTTAAATCCCTTTTGACATAGTTTTATTTCTTCCGCAGTCGACATTCTGAAAGGGTAGCAGGCCCAAGCATTTCCCAGAGGCCTAACATCTGTTTCTAGAGTTAGAAGGTGAGCACGCTCCCATCTAGTAGTGACGGGAAATACTGATGGCCCCAGAGCCTTTGCAAAGGCAGGAATAACAGGGTTTGGCAACACACGCAGAGAAGAATCCAGAGAGACTCCCGAAGCGCAGGCCAGGAGCCTGGGGAGTCAGGCTGGAGGCGCCGACTTGGGGGCTGCGGCAGAGCAATGACAGCTGGGCTCCGGGACAGCCCCAGTTTCTGGGGGAAGGAGCCCAGAGAGGGCCGGGGGCCTGGGCCTGAGGTGGACTCCAGCATCTGCAGTGTCCGTCCATCTCAGATTCTGGACTCTGTATATTCCTGTCTCCATTCTCACTGTCATTTGCATTCTCTGTCCCCAGGAAGCTCCCCTTGGTCTCTGAATCTCTATATATCTGCAGACAGAGGGTCCGCCCTGACACATGGTGGGCCCACTCCTTCCCGGATGTGGTCACATGCCCCCATGTCACAGAGCCAGGAAGCAGTGCCGAGGGCCCTGGGGACCCCTCTGTGGCCCAGGCACTGTGGTCTGTCTGTGCTCCCCTCCCCTCTGTGGTGGGTCTGTCTCCTGGGAACTGCTCCTGCCCCCTGGCCGCTTTCCGTGGGCACAGCCCTGGACACCCATGCCCTCCCTGGGTCCTTCCCCAGGAACTGACCCTGTCCCAGGTGTCAGCCTGACCACTCTGCTGAGGCCCCCAGCACTGCGTGTATACCCCGACTCCCCCAGTGCCTGGCTGCACACAGTATGAGCCAGAAGGTGCTGCAAGGATGGTGGAGAATTTGTGGATTGAGTGGCCCATCCACTCCCCCTACACAGACACACAGGACACACGTGCGCACACTCAGGGGCACGACAGAGAGGAACCTCCTCAGGGTTCCCAGACACACCCAACACCTATCTAGGCTCTGCCGGAAATCAGAGGATGTCAACACTTCCCAGGGGGTTGCAGGAGGAAGCTTGTCAGATCTGCTCCCTGGTTTCCATTTCTGGGCTCTGACAGCAGCCTTGCCTCCATTCCTGGAAGCAAATGACCAAAAACTGGCAATGTGCAGTCACTCTGGGCAAGAGGGCAGCCTGGGTAGAAAACAGGTGGTCTTACATTGGGAGAAGGGACCCCACCCTCAGTGCTGTCAGGGGCGGGTCCAGGCATACCTGTTCCCCATCTCTCCAGCACCCCAGACCCCCATTTCTCTAGCGTCCCATCTCCCAGGAGCACTCATCTTCCCAGGCCCCTGTTCTCAGAGCTTTGCCCATGACACAGGGGCCCTGAGATCCTAGAGAGAGGACATGGCACAGCCTGGGAACACTGCTGAGACCCTGGGCTGGGCACAGGCAGCCTGTCCATCATCATGGCTCTAGGGAGGCAAAGCCATCTACAGGGGGCAAAGCTGAGACCTCATACAGAGCAGCATGGCCTGGACACCAGACACTTGCAGGCTCATGCGTTGCGGTCCCAGAGGGATGCTGGCTGAGGGGACACTGCAGCTCCCCTGGGTCCTATGGCTCCAGTGTGGGCTCCATGAGGGCACCCCGCCCTGTTCCCAGTTTTCCTGATGGGAGAACAAGGCAAATCCAGGCACAGCCTGCCCCTGCTTAGGGGCCGACCCTCCTCATACGACCCTTCTTCCCGCACGGGGGACACCGCAGTCCACTCTGCCCATCTCACACTGTCTCCTCCTTTGGTGAGAACTTCAGCAGGATGTGTGCATTTTTTCACATTTTCATTCATCCCCACGAAAGTTCAGGATTTCTCTCCATCTTACTTCTTATCACGTGGACTGCATGCGGCCTGCTTTCATCTCATCATGTCAGCAGTGCCGAGGGCCGACTTGGACCCGGGGTTCATCAGCAGCCTGTGGATGCCTTTACAGACCGCGTCCTCCCCAGGCCTCAGGGAGACCGGAGGAGGGAGCACTCGGCACTGGGCCTCTGCTGCCAGAGGGAATCAGGGTCCAGAGTGTGCGGGGCAATGTGGGGAGACTCCTGGAGGACAAGGGGTCGGAGCCCAGAGGGGGCTCCCCCAGGCCTAAGGTCATGCCTCCTCATCCACCCGCCCCTTCTCGCTGGGACTCACATACGTGACTCAAGACATAAACCTTTGGAGGAAGGTGAAGACATTGCTACATTTGATGTCCCCTCGAGTCTTCACAGGACACGGATTCTCCGAGCCACCCATGAACTGGGCACTCAGTGCAGAACTGACTTCCCGCACGTGGGGACACGTGGGCCAGGTTCTCTGCATAGAGAGGGATGGGCAGGCTCAGCACGGAGCACAAGCCCAGTAGTGATCAAGCGAGGCTGGGATGTGGGGAGCGGGGAGTGAGGAGGTGCTGGGGAACATTCCAGAAGAGGAGACTTGGACAGGTGGCTACGGAGGTAGAAGTGGGGGAGACGGACAACACATCCCCCGGGAATGCCCGGTGAGCAAAGCGTTCTCCCTGCAATGGAGCCCCGTCTTGGTGTCCCCAAAAATGCTCCTGCACAGCCTTTGTGGTCTGTCCATGAGGAAGGGTGCTCCCCTGAGAAGGTGGAGACACCGTGCTGAAGTCTCCACCCTGAGGATGTGAGGCCAGCCCGAGGTGAGCAGCCTGGGCTCAGTGCAGGCTCCCAAGGCAGGACTCTGGGGCCTGTCTAGCTTTCCCAGGACAGGCACCTGACCTGAGAGTGAGCACCGGGCCAGGACAGGGTGGTCTGAGAGGAACCAGGATGTGGGAGTCCCCGGGACAGAGCGGCAGCCCCTCGGGACAAACATGGCTGGCTACGGCTCAGAGTCACATCTGGGGCTGGAATACAAATCGCCCCCCTTCCTCAGGGCCTGAGATGGACAGAAAGGAGCACAGGTGGGGTCCTTTCTCAGGTGGGCGGCCGTCCTGCATCCATCTGTTCCCTGTGTGGTCATGGCTCGGCCATCCCCTCTGGGAGCTGTGCTTTTCTCCTCCGTGTAACAGGGGAAGGAGTGAAGGCTCTGTGTCCACTTTGCTGTCCTTATCTGGTTGGCTCCTAAGGAGAGCTCAGCACATATTTGTCAGCTTCCTTTCTAGGACGAGGGGTGAAGGCCAGCTGGCTGCCTCTCAGGTCAGATTCTTCCTTCCCCACTCACTCCCCGTTGGCCCTTCCACCCAGCAGATGCCAGAGAGCCTGGACCAGGCCACGTCCTGAGCCGCTGCTGTGGGAATTGCAAGATGGGCGCCCTGGAGCCTGCCCACTGGGGCTCTGTGTACTGAGCCGGGGCCTTCCTCAGGGTATGCACACCTGTCCTCTGACCCCCTGCCCTGCTGGTCCCTGCTGCCAGGGACCACTCCCTCCACAGACCTCATTGTCCCCTGGTCAGTCCAGGAGGCTTCCAGGTAGGGCTGTGGTCAGAACAGAGAAACCAAAACCTAAACTTGTCATCGAGGACTTAGGGTGTGACATTGGGGCAGAGAAGTTCCTGCTTCTGTGCCACTCCCGAGGGTGGCATGAATGGCCTGAGCTCAGGAAGAGGTGGGGCCCAGCATCACACACTCAGCAGCTTCCAGTTAGGTGCTTTGATGCTGTATAAGGTTCCTGGGTCCCTGAAGAGCATCATAGGAGGAGGACACCGGCAGTGAGCAGGCAAGGAGCAGAGGACGCAGAGCCAAAGACAGTGAAGGGACTGAGACATGGAGGCCAGTGCAGCACCCATGGCCAGGTACCACCCATCCCCCCAGCACTCCTGCTCCAGAGCCCCCTCCTCCGGGTTCGCTGATGGGGGCTCGCTTCCTCCCCTCAGGGGCTCCTCCAGACCTCCGGGGCCCCCTCCTCTTCTCTGCCTCTCTCCTGCTGGCCCGCCTTGGGTCCAGCTGTGACCCCTCAGCTGATGCCCAGTCTGCTTGTCCAGGCCGCATGCCCCAGGCTCCTGGGGACTCCTCCTTGCTGGTCCCCGTTCCTCCTCTTCCTCCAATCCCCTCTGAAATCTATCATTTCTGGTTTGGCATCACCTCTGAACCGTGGGCTAGGAGGTCACTTTCCCCTTTAGGATTTGGATTTTGTCAAGCACACACATTATTTCCACAGGTAGAAAAATGTCCCATGATTCTGTGAGGAGCATAGTCTCTGGCATTCTCTTTCCCCCGTGGTCCCACTCTGGACTGTGTTTGGCCCCGATGCACCTTGTGGCTCAATTTAACCCTGAAGACAAGAGGAAAAAGCCCCCGTGGGTCCACTTGCAGCAGGGGGGTGGGTCAGCGGGGAGTGAGCTGGGAGGGTAAGGCCAGGGGAGGTGACCCGGCTACTCCAGGCAGAGGGAGAGGGCCACATCAGAGGCTCTGAGACCACTGCACTGCTCCTGGGGGAGACCCTGACTAAAGGATGGGGTGACATCTCAGGTGCCCCCAGAAGGTGTCAGAGAGGGAGGCCCGGTGGCTACAGCAAAGTGTGTGGAAGCCAGTCATCTCTTGGTCTGGCTGTGATGTGGGCACAGGGGAGGGAGCTCAGGGTGGAGGGTGAAGGCGTGTGGGGCGGAGGGAAGAGAACTGAGTGGTCCCTGGGGGAGCCCCACATCTTTAGGTTTTTCTCACCTTTGTCCCAGGCGCCTCATGGACGAAGACACCTTCACTGAGAACTTCAAGAATGTGAACTGGCCACGCAAGACCTACCTGTGCTATGAGGTGGAGCTCCCGGATGGAGACTCCAGGGTCCCCCCAGGCTGGGACAAGGGCTTCCTGCGCAACAAGGTGACTGACCCAGCCCGACTGCAGCTAGCGGGACCTCCCAGTGCTGAGACCCTCAGGGGAGAAGCTTCTTGGCTCATGGGATGTCCCACAGAGCTCTCCCCACTTCGTCCCTACAGCTGCTACAGCTCCACCTAGGGTCAGGTGGGGTCCGTTTCTGCTGGGATTGGCAGCTTTGAGCCACATGTCAGGAACTAGCCACAGTGTCTCAGGGTGGCACCACCAGCCCGGTGTCACCCCAGCCTCCAGGAACCCCTCCTGCTGTGCCTGTGAGGATCGGTCTGGACAGAGGGAAAGCAGTCTGGACAAGGGTCCTGGAGCAGCCTCTGGTCTGAGAGTCCATGTTCTGTTGGCTCCCAGTGCTGCCTCAGGGCACTCCTGGGGGGCCTGACCGGACCCCAGCCCATTACTTAGGAGATCCGGGCAAGGGTGCTGCTCACCCCACTGCATGGCTGGCTGCTCTGAGCCCAGGGATGCCCCGCTGGCCCTGTGCACCCATCACATTCCTGCCCAAGGTCTCTGCACGAGCACCGCCTGCCTGACTTCTTCTCACTTTCTGGTTGAGAATCTGTCACTCTGCAGTTTGGGCAAATCACCATCCTGTGAGCACACAATGACATTTATCCCGTGACCCAGGCACCTCTCCCCTTGGTGCCCTTTGCCCCGCTCCTCCCTGCACAGCGAGGACCTCACACCCTTGGGCTCAGCACAGGGTGAAGCCCAGAGCAGAAGCTTGTAGAAGTTTTGGTGCACAGGTGGGGGCACGGGAGGGGTGTAGACAGAGAGCGGGTGGATCCCTCCATGGAGGAAGCACCCACGTCTGTGGCATCAAGTCCATGAGGCTGGCGGCACCTGGACTCCTCGTTGACTCCACCAGCTCTTCATCTCCTCCTTGTGGGGCCAGACCAGGTGAGGCTACTGAAGACACTTACCTCTGCACCCAGCTCCAGGAGCTCCATAAACTCAGTCAAGATGCCTCCGATTTCCTTTTTCTTTTGCTGAGGAAGATTGGCCCTCAGCTAACACCTGTGCCAGTCTTCCTCTACCTTGTTTGTAGGACACCCCCACAGCATGGCACCAACGCGTGGTGTAGGTCCGCACCCACGACCCGAACCTGGGCCGCTGCAGTTGAGCATGCCAAGCTTTACCACTTAGCCACGGGGCTGGCCCTATTTTAATGCAATAGTTTAAAAATAAAAATTAACACACATTCCTTGATGAAAGATTGTAAACAATGTAAATGAAGACTGATCAGAGCCACCCCTGAGGGCCCGGCAGTTAAAGTTCAGCGCGCTCTGCTTCAGCGACCCAGGATGGTTTCCCGGTTGAGGAACCCCAGCACCCGTCCGTCAGCAGCCGTGCTGTGGTGGTTCACGAAGAACTAGAAGGACTTACAGCTAGGAAATACAGCTGTGCTCTGGGGCTTTGGGGAGGAGAAATAAAAGGCTGGTCAGTGTCAGTGCTGTGCGGATCCACAGAGAGCTGAGCTGCAATGAAGGCAGCGCTACCGAGCCGGCCCTGTGTAAAGTGGGGATGTGTGTTCACCATGGAGTTTTGCATTGTGTTTGATCATGTAAACACTGCATGGACATCTGATTCATCTTGACGCTGAGGTGGGCCCCCCGCCCCTCTAATTTAGTGCTGGAGGCCAGTGCCTCCCCTGCTCCCCGTGTCCTGCCCTCCCACTGTGCACAGCAAGTGACAGAACACTTTTCTTCCTCTTCTCCGCGCAGCCTATTCACATGCCCGGGCCACCCCGCGACGCAGAGATGCGCTTCCTGGACCTGATCTCTTCTTGGAAGCTGGACCAGAAACTGCGCTACAGGGTCACCTGTTTCATCTCCTGGAGCCCCTGCGCTGACTGTGCTCAGAGATTGGCTGAGTTCCTGCGGGAGAACAGCCACGTGAGCCTGCGCATCTTTGCTTCCCGCATCTTTACCAAGGGAGACTACAAGGCGGGACTGCGCACCCTACAGGCGGCTGAGGCCCAAATCGCCATCATGGCCTCAGAAGGTCAGCACTCCTGTCCTGGAGATGGGGCCAGGGGCAGGGAGAAGCCTGTAGGAAGTTGCTACAAAAGGATGGGCAGGATGCAAATCCCTGGGGGAGGAGCCTTTGTCTGTGGCTTGCAGGGGTGATGCTAGACTTGGAAAGGACTGTGGGGCTAGTGGAAGGGAGAGTTCAGGGAGGCGAGCTGGTCCCGGGGAGGGAAGGGAGGTTGAGCGGAGGTGCAAGAAGGACGTGGGGGCTTCCAGAAAGGAGGAGAATTGGGCTGACTCAGCTTCCAGTTGGAAGAAAGAGTTTGAGGGCTAAGTCCCCGGGGAGAACAGAGAAAAGAGGGCAGTGAAATTGATGGGGAATACTGTCCCTAAGAGTCAGCCAGACTCTGGCCCTCCCCCCTCCCAGGTGGGTCTCAGCCTCATGTCCCCTGTCCCTTCAGAGTTTGAGCACTGCTGGGAGACCTTCGTGGACCACCAGGGAAGACCCTTCCAGCCCTGGGATGAGCTGGATCCTAAGAGTCGCTACCTGTCCGAGCAGCTGCTGCACATTCTCCAGCCGACTGCTCCTCCCTCCCTGCCTCCCCTCTACTTTCCTCCCTCCCTGCCTCCCCTCTACTTTCCTCCCTCCCTGCCTCCCCTCTGCTTTCCTCCCTCCCTGCCTCCCCTCTGCTTTCCTCCCTCCCTGCCTCCCCTCTATTTTCCTCCCTCCCTGCCTCCCCTCTACTTTCCTCCCTCCCTGCCTCCCCTCTGCTTTCCTCCCTCCCTGCCTCCCCTCTGCTTTCCTCCCTCCCATCCTGTCCCTGGGCCTTACTTTCGCTCTCTCAGAGACTCCTCTGGGTGAGCTAGTCCCTCCTGGGTGGCCAGCTCCATCCATCCCTTCCCTTCTCACAAGCTCTCTGCTTTCTCAGCTCCCTCCTCCTCTGTCCTCCTCCATCTTGGTGACTGCCCCGCACCTGTGTCCTCTTTCCACCTTTCCACTCCCGGCTCCACCCAGCTCCACCTGCTCACCCTCGAGTCAGGAACAATGAAGGACGGACCTCAGTCTCTCTAAAGAAGGCAAGAGCCCTCTGCTGAACCGCACAACAAAGCACTTTCTATCAAGAAATGTGAACACGCCATTCCCCACCATCTCCACATTGATGAAAGAAACCAGCAAAAGGCTCAGAAGCCACTAAGAAACAGTTTCAGAAAAAAGTCTCCGAGTAAATTTACTTTTCATGAAATCCATCTTAGGGTACAAATAGACATCAGTAAGATTACACTCAACAGCATCAGAATAGTTTTAAATTTTTAGAGAATAATTATTCTAATTGATTTTAAACCCAGAGCAGTACAGTGAAATACTAAGAATCTACCGCTGATTTTTCCTCTGTAAATGCATGATGGAGTCCGTGTATTTAAATAAACATCTGCAACGTGCCAACGCCGTGCTCTTTCTTAGCGGACCTTCCGGGGGAGGCAGTGGTCGCACTATTTCCAGCTGTTGTGAGTAACAATCAGCTAAACCTTGTAGGAGGGGAACCTAGAAACCTTCCCTCATGGACAACCTATCACACTGCTAGCAGCACCGTTTTTCAACTGACAGGCCACGTGATAAGAGAAGAGAAAGAGCAAGTCTAAGAAGTGGGAGGGAGCATTCAAATGTGCAGGTAGACGGGTGGCTGGGACTCACTCCAGCCTTCTCCTCGTTCCTAAGTCCTCTGCCCTGGAGGGGAGGCTGAGGGGGAGTTTTGCTGCTCAGAGGATGGCTCCGCCCTTTACGTGCAGGAACCACGCGGAGTCCAGCCCTGGCAGCCGGGAGTCCTGCACAAGGCGTTCCAGGCAACCGGGGCTCCCAGGTCTCTCCTCACAGACATCTGCTCACATGTCAGGGGCCAAACTGTGTCCCAGCCTCACCCAATGACTGTCAAGGGCTGGGGGAGAGGAGTCATTTAATATGAGACACAGGAGGTATACAGAATGGGGCATCCTTCAAAGAGAGGATTAAAAACCTCTCACGATGGGATGCAATCTCTGATTAAGAGACAGAAACTTCTAAGACAAAATGATTTCAAAAATGGCTACAAAAGACATCTGTTAGCAAAAAGAAAAAAATCTTTGACAGAAGTCGCTTGTTATCTGAACAGGTCCAACTTCCAGAAAAAGTTTGGATCCAACCGTTCTTTTCAGTTTTTTTTTTTAAGATTTAATTTTTTCGCTTTTCTCCCCAAAGCCGCCTGGTACACAGCTGTATATTTTTAGTTGTGGGTCCTTTAGTGGTGGCATGTGTGATGTCACCTCAGCATGGCCTGATGAGTGGTGCCATGTCTGCGCCCAGGAGCCAAACGGGCAAAACCCTTGGCCACTGCAGCAGAACGTGTGAACTTAACCTCTCAGCCACGGGGCCGGCCCCTCTTTTGCGTTTTGTACCTGAGACCTGGTTAAAATTTTGATGATGTCAGTTTGCGTCTGTGTGTCTCTGTCTGTATTTGTCTGCCTCCAGATGATCTAAGTTCTAAAGGAGCTCTATTTAATTGGTTTGGAATAAACACTTTTATAAGTTATTTATAAATGTAATAGAAACTAGCTCAGATGTTTTTCAGGACATGACATAAAATGATCTTTGGTAAATGAAAACTTGCTTAAGTTTATTGCTTTGATAAAAATAAGTATGTTTTCAGAGTTATCAAGTTGGGATGTGGTACAAACATTCTCTCTGTTACAAAAGTTGTCAGCAAAAGATAATAATTGAGAATAACAGTTGATTTCATCTGATGTCTCATGAGGGTTTTGTAGGCAATCAAAATATAATTATTGGGAAGAAGAAAACTAAATAGATATGAAGAGGTTTCTGGAGGAACTTTTTAACAATAATTGTGTGTTATGGTAGAGCTACTTAAAACAAGTCAAGATGATGGCTGACTGTCTTAATATCACATTAAGTTTGTGAGAGTAATCTAAACATAATTGTTTGGACACAATGTAGATAGATACAAACTAGTAAGAGTTTTCAGGTGCAATAATTACATCTTATGGTATACATGCTTGAAAAATAGCTTGGAAAATGTTTTGGGTAATTTGAGACTTTAGAGTTTTGCTACATTAAGTTAGATGATAAAAATTTGTTGACTATCTCGGCCATTTCCACATAAGATAAAAGATTGGAAATTGACTACTAAGCATAGATTTATCTGCCTTGATTTCTTGGCTCAAAGAAACTAAAAGATGCTTCAGTTTATTGATAAACACGTTTTATGCATGCTGAGAAATTTTCTATGAGAAAGCACATGTTTCTAAAAGGTCTGTATACAAGAAAAGTAAAATGTATGTTTTCAGTAAAGAAGGTATAAAGAATAGAGATATTTTGTTTGTTCTATTAAGAAGATAAATTTGTCCTAAAGTACTAAGAAAGAAGAAAAAAGGAAAGAAGGCATGGGACAAATTCTGAATGTAAAAAGTAAGTGACAGAAGGGGGCTGGCCCCGTGGCCGAGTGGTTAAGTTCACGCACTCCGCTGCAGGTGGCCCAGTGCTTCGTTAGTTCGAATCCTGGGTGCGGACATGGCACTGCTCATCAGACAACGCTGAGGCAGCATCGCACATGCCGCAACTAGAAGAACCCACAACGAAGAATACACAACTATGTACCGGGGGGCTTTGGGGAGAAAAAGGAAAAAATAAAATCTTTAAAAAAAAAAAAAAAAGTAAGTGACAGAAGGTTTGTGGAAGGAAAACCCTGAGGAGTTTTGTGCAGGGTCAAGTTGGCTAAGATTGAAATTAATTTAATTTCAGTATCAAAAGTAAGCTGGTACAAAAGCAGAATTTGGCTTTCTCTCTCTCTCACCTATAAACATAATTCTCTGCAACTTTTGGTCTTCTATTGATAAAGAGGGTAGAAAAGGACTTTTTAAATTTTTGAGTAAGTTTACCTAAAAGACAGAAAATGTATGTTTTGATAAAATAATTTCCTACGTTTAAAAGGACTGAGGTCCACCTATGACGGATATTTTTGAGTGTTTGACTCTCTGTTTGCCTTTGACTGCTTCTGCTGTCATCTTGATTAAATCGATAGCTAAACATTGTTTCCAATTTTACCAAGTGTTTTAAAACGTTTTGATATTTTTGACAATCTCACCACCTCCAAATTAAAGTCTTTCTTTTGACTTAAAAAGGAAACTTTGAGATTTTCCCATCAGCCCTAGGACTTCTCAAAGAATTGGTTCTGTCTGAAAAGAGGGAGATAGTAAACTAATTAAACTTACTTGGCATGTTAAATTACATGGAAAGCATTATCAAATGAATGATAACAAACCTTCTTGGGTAACATTGTATGGATAAATGTTATTAACATAAATATTTTAAAAATTACATAACCTTCTGAAAATTCTGAACTCTCCTGAGTGTCAGTCATAGTTCTAGTTATTATCTCAAATTGTTTGTGACGAAAGTAACCAAGTGTTTTTGTCAATTGCCATTTTGAATGTTTTGTCATTTGCAGAGAGTTGCTAGCTTTTTGGGGGGTTTTTTTGAAGATTAACACCTGAGCTAACAAGTGTTGCAAACATCCTTTGTTTTTCCTTTCTGCTTTTTCTCCCCAAATCCCCCTGGTACATACTTGTATATTTTGGTTGTGGGTCCTTCTACTTGTGGCATGTGGGATGCCTCCTCAGTGTGGCCTGAGAAGCAGTCCCATGTCTGTCCCCAGGATCTGAACCAGTGAATTCCTGGGGTGCCAAAGTGGAGCACACAAACTTACCCACTCGGCCACAGGGCCAGCCCCCAGTTGCTGTTTTACTCTGATGTTTTTGCAAATATGTTTCTTCTTCAGAGAGATTCATGCAAAGGGCTCTGACCCTTGCTCTCAAATGCAGGTTTCTGATAAACATTCAGATTATGAAGCTGACGTGGATAAGTAAGTACAGAACTATAATGGAGAAGCCTCATGAAACTGCTAACAGAAGATCGAAAGTTGATTGTATGGGACTAAATAAATTGATGAGAATGATTATAATATTTATGAGTTTTTGTTTGACATATTGCTGATTTTTTTTAATGTCTTGCTTTTTCAGGTTTAAGGAAAACGTTTTCTCTTTTCTCTTCAGCTAACTATGACTTACAACAATTCGGTAAATTATACTTTTGTAAACGAAATTGAAACATTTACCGTTTCATCCCTATCTGATCCCTCCAGAATTTAAAAACTCTTGATGAGTGAATATTCTTATATTCGTGGCGACATAGTGATTTGCATAAGTTCAATAAAACCTGTGCTCCTGATAGCAGGACCAAATTGGAAACACTGGTTATATTACCAAGGCGTTGCCTGGAATGTCATATTTGAAACCGAAAATGCAGACTCAGATATGAGAAGACAACTTTTGAGGAAGAAAGGTTGGACTTAATGGAATAAAGTCACTTGGAAATATTGGTCTGGTACCTTGCTTACAGGATCCCCAGCAACCTTACCAGGTGAGTAAAGAAGGTCACTTCCCTGACAGGTGCAGGAGCCCCAGGATGTTTTGGGGACCTCGAGAAGAGAGAAATTCACCCAATCTGTAGATATTGCAGGCAGAATATATCGTAGTGTAGTTTTGATTTGTGTTTCCTTGATGATTAGTGATGTTGAACATCTTTTCACGTACCTCTTGGCCATCTGTATATCTTCTTTGGAAAAATGTCTGTTCATATCCTCTGCCCATTTTTTGATCAGGCTGTTTGTTTTTTTGTTGTTCATTTGTGTGAGTTCCTTATATATTATGGAGATTAATCCCTTGTCAGATACATGATTTGCAAATATTTTCTCCCAATGTGTGAGTTGTCTTGTTGTTTTGATCCGAGTTTCTTTTGCCTTGCAGACGCTCTTTAGTCTGAAGAAGTCCCACTTGTTTATTTATTCCTTTGTTTCCCTTGTCTGAGAAGACAGGGTATTCGAAAAGATCCTTTTATGTTCACTGTCAAAGAGTGTACTATCTATATTATCTTCCAGGAGTTTTATGGTTTCAGGACTTATCTTTGAGTTTTTTATCCATTTTGAGTTTTTTTTTGTGTATGGCATGAAATAATGGTCTACTTTCATTCTTTTGCATGTGGCTGTCCAGTTTTCCCAACACCATTTGTTAAAGAGACTATCTTTTCTCTAGTGTATGCTTTTGGCCACTTTGTCGAAGAGTAGCTGTCCGTAGATGTGTGGTTTTATTTCTGGGCTTTCAGTTCGGTTCCATGGCCTTGTGACTATTTTTGTACCAGTACCATGCCGTTTTGATTACTATGGCTTTGTAGTGCATTTTGAAGTCAGGGATTGTGATGCCTCCAGGTTTGTTCTTTTTTTCTCAAGATTGCTTTAGCAATTTGGGGTCTTTGGTTGCCCCATAAGAATTTTAGGATTCTTTGTTGTATTGCTGTGCAGAATGTCATTGGGATTCTGATTGGGACTGCATTGAATGTGT